ATGCTTGTGCCATTCAGACCTCCATCATTCCTCACCCTCACCTTGTGAATCTGTAGACTTGATTTGTAGACATGCTGATTTCTCAGTTCAGTTAGCTGATGTGCGTGGTCTCTTTGGGCTGCCAGGAAAGAGCCCACAGTTCACTGTTTTGTCCTGTCTTTCTTAGAGTAGCCTTGAGTGTGCATCCATTTTTGCTCTGTCTGATAGCATGGTACCTATCTCAGGCACAAATGACTCAGGCGGTAGTTGTTTTATGAGAAATTAAATTGGAGAGAGTGGGAAATTTGGACGATATAGATTCTGGTATTTACAGTCATCAGCTTATTGTTATGTCAGAAATGTCTTATAAATATGTACATGTAAATTTATAAAAATGTTTTGTTTTATAGTTTATATAGATCCTATACACATGAGGAACTTTGCTCCCAATGATAGTTACATGAATTTATGAAAATAATTTTAGGCGGAGATTTTCTCCTTCCTTAAGGAACCATACATTGGTTTGTCAAAAACTCAAGTTTATTTTTGTTCTCATGTGTTTTTGCTCAGTTATTTATGATTTATGACTAGTAAATAATTAATACAGGATGGGGCAAAAGTAGGTTTACAGTTGTTTATATGGAAAATACAATAATAAATAATACAAGAATAAGCTCTGTTTCACCTACTCACAACTATAAACCTATTTTTGCCCCACCCTGTGTATTCATTAACTATAAGTTCAGAGCTTCTTATACTTAAATGTAAAACAATATATATTTTTAGATTCTTACCCCTGTTGGGGAATTAGAACTAGAAACAAAATATCCTAACCCAAGAATTCTTTTCACAAAAGTAGTAGAGGAAGAAAACACTTTTATTGTTGAATATGCATTGACCCCGAGGGTGGTGTGCATCTCCTGTAGTCACTAAAGATTTCACAGACAAAAGAATCTCATCCCCTTCTATATCCAAGGTGATGCAACCAGTTGCATACATGTTTTCAAAACAAACAGTATCTAGTCCTTAAATAAGAGGCTTGACAACACCTTTTGCCACACCTTGTAGTTCATCCTAACTTTACCTGTTAACTGGGGAGGCCATCTGTGTTAGATAATTGGCCTTATCCAGAGGAGAAACAAACTTCTCATTACCTTATGACAATTTTGCACTTGGAGGAGGTACCCACCCAAGTTAAGATGCTACCTTCCTTCTCGTGGAAACCAGAATGGGGCACCATCTCCTCTTTAAATGTTTACATTTCAAAGAAATGGCTCCCAGGTCCTAGAGAAAGACACTCTGGATCGTAAATCTGATTTTAAGAAAGGCTTAGTTTTCAAAAGTATACGTACATATCTGGGCATATATATGTGTGTGTGTGTGTGTGTGTGTGTGTGTGTGTGTGTGTATATATATATATATATATATATATATATATATTCACACATATACATACATTTGAAAGACGAGAAAGTACTTTTAATGTTTCCAAAATAAATGCTCTAAGAAAAAGGAGGGGAGGAGAATATTTTTTTTTAAATAGGGATAATTAAGCCTCTTGTTTTTAGTTTATATTTGTACTTACTCTGACTTTCTTTGCTTCTGTCTTAAATATTAGGACCTTGATTTTATTAAACTTATAGTAGCACTAAGATAAATAGAAGTGACTTCAAATGCATTTGTAACATGGATGTAATTGCAATTTAGTTTTAATTGAATGTAAACATTTTAATTTGTTCATTCTACATAAAAAGTAGGATTTCTTAAAAAGTAGATTAGCATTTTAATAGCTGCCTTGTGTCCCCCTGACGCAGAGGAGTTCCTTCTATGTTACTGGGGGATGCTCTTCGTCCTCTCACCATGGCTGTGGTCCCTTCGCATCAGATGCTGAGCTCCACTTTGTGCACCTGCTGTGCTCAATATTTGCTCTCCGAGGTGCAGTTTTACATGGTTACCTTCCCAGCCTGACCTGGTGATGGCAGTGGTCACACCCTTCAGTCTTTCCTGACCAGTACATGTTATGTAGTCCTTGTTTCTTCTTAAAGGAAGGGTGCTCCCAACCTTTCGAACCCGCCTCTGGATTTAGATGAAAAGCAGTAGCCGCCTCGCTGAGTATTGTTAGGACAACTTACTCTTTTCTTTCTTCCCTCCCCGCCCACTACCTTTGAGGTTTTTTTTTTTTTTTTCTTTTTTTCATATTGCTTTCTGCCAGTTTCTCAAACATGACTGTGTGGACTTGAGAACAACCTTTAACCAACTCTTCCCTCTATGCTAGGCTGAAATATTTAGAATGTTAGAACCGTCACTGTTAGCATTTGTAATGTTCCTACTAGGGCTCTGCAGAGAAGTGAGAATTGAAAACTAGTTACATAAATTGCTAAGCTTTGAACGCTAATTTTTCCCAGGCACTTCTGCCTCTAGGACATGTATTCCACAAAGAGTATTTGCAACTAGCAAGAAATTAAGTAGAAATTCAATTAATAAGAGAGCCATCCCCCCACTTGAATGTTAAACAGATAGCAGGATTTTTTTTTTTTTTTTTTTTTTTTTGAGCTGTAAGCCTTTGACTAGAGGCTCTTGCAAAGTAAGCTAAGTGTCTCATGCCACTAGTTATTTTAAGAGCTATGTAGTGAATTAGAATTTAAGATAATGTCTAACACCAGGGAATTTTTGTTTCTTTCCTCATGAAGATTTAAAATTTTTTATCTGTGTTAAATGTAGTTTGATTATATTGTCTACTATTTCTGATGTTTCTCCTTGAGTGGCTCTCAGACCCGACTAGCCTAAATCAGGTAGTAAGCCTTTCTCTAGCCGTTTGAACTGTTGAGTTGTTTCACTGACAGAATGGGCCATGGCTTCAGTGAAGCTCACTGTACCTATGGAACCCCTTTTGTGTATGGGTACTGGGATCTAGATAGTTCCATTACAGCGTGGCTCCTGCTGACTCAGTTTGCAGTGCCCTAGGAACCCACAGGACTTCTTGCAGACAGCACTGCGGGAACCGCCGAGGTATGGACCTCTCCCATTGGAGAAATGTGTGAGCCATATGCTCACAGTTGTGCTTTTTTCACAGAACCAAGGACTCTGTTGTTAATTAATAAATAATGGGTGGTCTATCTTCGAATTATTTTTATTGGCAGATGCCCAGAATGATTCAAAGCTATCTGAAAATGAAGAACGCCCTCGTTCTTTATTCAGCTCTTGCTTTTCTATGTAATGTACTGATATCTTAGGAAAATAATTTGAATATCAAATCACACATAAATTTTAAGCAATATTTCCTCCTCAGAATTTCAAATAGGACATTTAACTATGGCCTGTTCGCAGATCCCTCTGATAATTTAGTGTGTGTGTGTGTGTGTGTGTGTGTGTGTGTGTGTGTTCCTGGAAGGGGAAAAAGAGAAGGAAGCCCAGAAATGTGCCATCCAGTTGTATCAGTCATAAATAGCTTAAGTAAATTCAACTGCATTTCTGGTTGATTGTGTGTCTATCACAAGATAGCTGCTGAGAATTCAAATAGAAATAAGTGCAAAGTCAGAGGCGACAGGGATCACATGGGGAGCGGGTCAGGAAAGGTTGATGGAGATAAGTGTGATGGTTGATAGAGGATCACCAGGGTGGCAGGGGGAAGTAGAGCAAATCACATTTTGTTAAGGGAAACTGTTTGAAGATTTGTGGAATGATCAGCAGTAGGTGTTCTTGGAACTATAAGTTGTATTCGGTAATGCTGGGAGCATAAAGCACTGAAGGAATGGCTAGGGAAAATGGGAATATAGCTCAGATAATGAAAATCCTGAGCCCTGTCTCAAATAGCAGTAAATTGTTCATGATATGTAGCTGTGGCCAAAGACAATGTGCAGCTAAACCAGCAATTTTCAGCCCTTTTTATCTCATGGCACACAAAAACTAATTTCTAAAATTCTGCGGCACAATACAAAATATGTATGTTTGCCAATCTGACAAAAAAAAAAAATGGTATGATTTCGATTCATTCATACTGGACAGCTATTGTGTTAGCTGTTATCTTTTTTTAAATTTTTAATTTATTTTTTTATTTATTTTGACAATTTAAGGAGAAAGAGATCTGGGCCTCTGACTAAATTTAAAAATTCTTGCAGTTCACCAGTGTGCTGGGGCACACCAGTTTAAAATCACAGAGCTAAACAATAGAATTGTAACGTCTTATTTATGTTCTATGCCCAGATGTTCTCGGTACCTACCCATTAGGATGAGCCTGACAAATAGCTGGTCTAATTTATGTTAAGATAGCAGCTACTGTTATGTGTGAAGGATAAGAGAGCCCTACTTTACAAAGGCCATTTCATTGGTAACATTTTCGCGTTACGGAGGCATACTGGCAGGGACTCAGATGGTGTGAAGCCCCTACATCAGTAGAGAGTGAAGGAGAGGGTTAGGATGGGCTAAGGAGCCCTTGTCACTTGGGTGACAGGGAAGATAGACAAACAAGGGGAGAGCTTGCAGTCCTGCATAAGCCACTGCCTTCTGGAGCAGCAGATCAGGCTGGCGATGATAATAGTGGTGGAGCGTACGTTTCACGAGACGTGGCTATTTTAATGTGTAATATTTTAAAATTATGTTTATGTGACTTCTTGGCATCACTGCCATTTACACCCCAAAAGTCAAAGGTTAAATTATCATTATTGGCCAGGCAGTTAAAACATGTTTTAATGGGAAGCTCAAACTCTCGAATAAACCTTTTTATCTATAGATAGAAATTTTTAGTGCTTTGGAGAATATATGTGGACAATAAAAGCATTTTTTTTTTCAGTTGAGTTTTATTTATTGAATTTAAGTATTATGAAGTAATAAACAGATGAGATTTCTTTTTGGGAACTTGTTTATGTATTTAGAAAATAACAAAGATCGTTTTGATATAAAATAAAATCCCACCATAAGAGACAGAAGGAGAAAGAAAAACGAAGTGTTGTGTGTGTTGGAAGTTGGATAAACATCTGATGAAGTTAGAAATGCCTTATTCTGTACAATTTTACCTTTTTTAGGTGCTGGTGAATCTGGGAAAAGTACGATTGTGAAGCAAATGAAGTAAGTAGACTTAAACATTAAATTAGTGTTTTTATGTTAAAATGTACCCTTCCATCAAAGGAAGTAAGTGTTTTCTTTTTCCCTTCGTCTCCTTAGAATTATCCATGAGGCTGGCTATTCGGAAGAAGAATGTAAACAGTATAAAGCAGTGGTCTACAGTAACACCATTCAGTCCATTATTGCTATCATTAGAGCCATGGGGAGGTTGAAGATAGACTTCGGTGACTCAGCTCAGGCGGTAAGTTATTAAATTCTTCGGAGCAGGCCTGACGAGTATAAAGAATAATAACTTGCATAATACCATGCCACAAAAACAGATTTATCAGATATCTCAGAACCATTTTTTAAAAGGAATCAAAGGATGGTGAATGAAGTCAGAAGCTTTAGAAGTGAATGAAATAAGAATACAGAGTGTGTAATCTTCCCTTTATAGCTAGAATATTCTCCTTATCCATCAGAAGATTTGGACAATTTAATAACTGTTGCAGTGTTTTCTATATATCATGTGATATTGGGTTCCTCCCTATCTCCATAACAAATTTTAGTTATTACTGCTGAGTTTAGTAAACTGCCTACACTGGCATTATTCTAAATTTGTTTTTATAATTTGGAATGCTGAAATGATCTAATTATTTGTATTCATGCCCAGACTAAAAAAGCAATCTAATCTCTTATAATGAAAACAGAATAAACGCTTGCATGTCTTTAGAATAGAAAAGTAACTGGCTATGAGGACACATATATCAGAATGTCAGAGCTAAAGACAAGGACCTTAGGGACAAGTTTCATTTTTTGAGTATAGTTTTTTTCTTCACTGTTATATATTTTTAATAACTGGTGTAAAATTTGATCTTCTTAGGAAACATTTACTGAATCTTCAGCTTATTTTTTATTTTTTTGTATAAAGTAGATGTATTATTATTTCTATGACCACAGTTTTATAATTCCTTTGTATTTTTATGTATTCAAATGTGTGTATGCCACCTTCCTACTAATAGTATGAAGATTTTTTTTTTTTTTGTATAGAGGCTATTCATACTTAATAGGGAAGAAAATGAATGAAGGCAACCTTAGAAAATAATACATTAGATAAATCTATAAAATCGGTGTTGTTTTTTTTTTTGGTTACCCTAACATTTCGTTATAGGTCTTAATTTTCTAATCTCCTTTTAAACAAAAATTTAAAAGCTTAGTGTAATGAATTAATATTTTGAAGTATTTCAAGATCGTTTTAATAATAATTTATAACTTTCTTCTAAATTGTAATTTCTGAAACAAGATTTGATCGTATCCAGACATTTTTTTTGCTTTACTTGTCCATTGAATCTATACTTTTATCAAATGCTTTTTGAGCTCTTAGTCTTATACAGAAGGGAACCACCCTTAGATAAAAGTCAAGAATTTATGTAAATTGTACTTTACACTAATTCTGATATGGTAATTTAAAACTTTTATCAAATTCTCAAATAGAGTATTCTGCATTCATATCTTACATGTGATTAGAGAGCAAGGTTTTGTGGCCTCCAGCAAGTAATGAAAGGTCAATGCAAGCAGTTGTTATGAAGTCTTCTTATTTCTTATTTTTCTCTCAAAGAACATTGCCATTTTCTGCCTTTTTAAAAGAAAAAACAATATAATTTGGACTTTGTTTCAGGACTGATTGAGAGTAACTACTCTCAGCACTCCTTTTGGTCGCTAGTTATACCCTAGTCACTGTTCACCTTCAGCCTGCTCTGTGTACGATGGCTATTGTTAACCACTTCATGCAAATGTGTTCATTCTTCCACTTTGTTTTGATCAGCTCATTCTGTTTCCTGTTGACTTGCTTCTACACAAGCTTATACATAACTATGAGGCTTTTGGAATTGTGCTAAGAAATACAGAGATGAATTAAACATGGCCTGGGCTTGAGGAAGGGACCTGGGAGCTTGGGAGCTTGTTAATGAAACGTGTGAAAATTTTCTAGACAAAAAATAAAGGGCATTTTATAAAATAAGAAACAATATATTCAAAGGGTGAATATATTTCTATTTCTAAAAAATTAATTCCTGGAAGTATTAACTTTGAGTTAAAGGGTAACTAGATTTTTAATTTTGTTAAGTACCGAAGATTTGCTTTTAGAAAAGCAACGTGAATAGTCTTTTCTAGAAATTGTGCATCAGTGTCTACGACAGTCTGGCCAATTTAGGTATTATCAACATTTTAATTTTTAGTATCTCATGAGTGAAAAGTATTTTTATTTTTATTTTTTATTTTTTGTTTTCCTGATTTTTAGTGAGGTGAGGAAACTTTTTTTTTTTTTTCCTTTCATGCACTCCTCTTAATGTTCTTCACTCAATTCTGTTAAATTATTTGTTCTACTCACATTGTGTCTCTTGAAATATCAAGGATATTAACCCTTTTTATTTTTTCTCAATATATTTCTTTTCCTTTTTTTAAAATAGCATTTTTCTTATTACAGAACTCTTAATTTTGTTTTCACCATTGATTCTGACTTTTATGTTGTGTCTTGTTAGACAAATATTCTTCAACTTAAAGTTATTTTAAAACTATTCTTATTTTTCTAGAATGTTCAGTTTTATTTCTTTAGATTTATATCTTTACCCACCTGGAAATATGAGATTGTACGATCTAAGTGTATTTTATAATCTGATCATCTCTTGCCTTACAACCATTTATTAAATATTCAGTTTCTTAGTGACTTGAAAATGTGACCATTAGCATTAAATTATCTGTGTTTCTGGGCTGCATTCTTTTTCCCCACTGATATATTGTTTTCTTTCCTAGGTCAGTCACTTAAGTTTTTTAACCTCTATGAGATTATTTCATTATAATAAGATGGAAATAATAATAACATCTATTTCGGAAGGTAGTGAACAGTAATGACATAATGAACACCAAGTGTTTACAACATGCTTTGGTTATAATAGATAGATACTCAATAGATGTTTGCTGCTGCTATTGTGATTTATAATTATTATAGCACTATTATTATTCTTGTCAGAATAACATTATTTTAGTCTCTGGTGCTTCATAGGATTGGTATTTAGTAGGTTAAGAGCATGCATCTCATTGTTGTTCTTTTACCAAAATATCAAGGTTATTGTGTGTCTCTGAACTTGAGAATCAACTTCCCCACATTCCTGTTGAGACAAAGGAAACAAAAAGCCTGTTGGTATCTTGTTTAGAATTACATCTTGATATGTAGGTTAATTGGGTGAAAATTGCCCATAAAGAATGAATATTTTAAGAGATACTGACTTATTTGCTGTGGTTTGCTTCATATTTGGCAACTACTAGATTTGCAAAGCATATTACACATTAGTTATTTAAAATGAGAGGAAACAAAATTGTTTTTAAGGATGACTTAGAGCAATCAAATTTTGTACCTAATATCCTCTCAAAACTCTCTCAGAATTTGTGTATTCAGTCTCTGAATGATAATGTATTGATAAATTAGACTCTTCCTAGTAGTGTGAAGCTAGGGAAGCATTATGTATGGGCATATTACCATGTCTAAGACACACTGCATTGCTTAAACAGTGTGGCTCTATGGGCCAGTTTCTGTCCATAAGCGCAGGATGAGTACAGAATTAAGAGTCAGCATTTAGACAGATTTCTAAGCATTAGTAGAGTAACTATCGATAACTTATATATTAACTCTGATAGTTTAAGAAAATGGGTTTACATAGTACTTTGTCGTTTAAATTTTATTTTTCTAACAGTGTTAGTTCTGAAATAGTTTGGAAATAAAAACAAATCAAAACACAGACCGGCCTTCTTCACAGAGAGTTTGACAAGTACTTACGTCAGAATAACTTGGGCTACAGGGAGCTGAAAGCCTTGCCTGGAGTTGACTTAAACAAGCTCCCATTCTCCCTGATGGAGAATGCTTGCTCCCGCACGATGGCTACTCCTCTGTTCCTCTAATTTGTAAATAATTTCTTTAGTCAGTTTATGTCTGTCTGCCAGATTGCTTTTAAGAAAGCAATTTACCTTCCTAGCAGCAGTTTAGGACAAGACCTTTTCTTAGCTCTCTAAGTAGTAAAAATTTATGAGTGTTACATTGAAAAATTACTGGGTAATTTATTGAATTTTCTTTCAATTTCATTTACAGTTTCAATTTTTAATATAATTTTATAGTTTTATTTTCTTTTTTTTAAATATAGTTTTTATTTATTTTTTACAGAGAGGAAGAGAGAGTGATAGTTAGAAACATTGATGAGAGAGAATTATCGATCAGCTGCCTCTTGCCCACCCCCTACTGGGGATGTGTGCCAGCAACCAAATCGAACCTGAGACCTTTCAGTCCGCAGGCTGATGCTCTATCCACTGAGCCAAACCGGTTTTGGCTTATTTTCTTTATTGACTATTTTTAAGAGCTTCAAGCATTTAATTTTTAAAAAATCCTTATTATTGAAAGCATTACTGATTTGTTTCTCTATGTTAGTGGTCTATTTTATCCCTTATTCATTTACTTATTGCAGTCTTGGTGTTTCCGTTATCTGCTTGTTTGTGTGTACATTTGTATTAACCCTTTGCTCAATAATACATAATATATTCTCTCCCATTCTGCTTGCCTTCATCTATGGTTTTTACTTATTTTTAATCTTTTCTTATTATTTCTTCCATTATGTTTACATGTAGAAAAATCTTTAAACCAAATATTTACTAAGTAGATTTTAATGCTATTTTAAAAGTATTTTAGGGGAGTCAATTTTAACTTTGCTTCTTATGTTTGTACTTCAATGCCTCTGAAACTCATTTGGTTATATGTATGCAGTAAGTGTTGACATTACTCTTTTCTTCAGATGGCTATCTTAATTATTTATTAATTTTTGAAAAGTCATTCTTTCCTACTAACTAACCTTGCTGATTATCATATAATAAGTTCAGATTTAGGATTCTGTATCCTGTTGAACTACATCAACATCATTGTTATATACATTGCAGGCTTTTCATATTTGATCCTTTTAGCCCATTCTCCCCAGTATTTTTCAAAATGTTCCTAGTTATTTCTACTTGTTATTTTTTCAAGGGAGTGTTTGGTTTTGTATTCTGGCTTATGTTTGAGAACTAAGATTATATAGGGTTATATCGTTTTCGATTTTGAGAGATATTGATTGATGTATACAGGAAAGGGGTATTAACCTTCATTGAGAATGTAATATGTGCCTCCAGCACACTCTTTTTCTATTTCCCTCAATTCATGGACCGATTATCATATTTCCATGTTTCTTTTAGCAAAAGGTTCTATTGTCCATATAAAGAACACTTCAACATTTTTTTATTTTACTTACTTGAAAATAAAAATTTATAAGATGCATAAAAATTGTATTTGAGTAACACATTTATTGTAATCTCCTTTTCTGACACAATAAAGCTCATGCTCACTTGAGTAAGAATTTTTGCTATTGCTGTTTAGTTAAAATTAACTTAGATTATTTTAATTTTAGGCTTTTCACCCCTTTTAAGCAGTGCTCTAGGAAAAAAAGAAAAATGACCTTTCCTGTCATGTTTAGTTTGATTACATTTGCATTTTTAGAGAAAAATGTTTTACATTTATGTATTCCTTATTCAAAGCAATTCTTTAAAGTCTGGGATTGCTACCATGAAATGGTGACCCCCTTCAAGTTCTCAGGATTTCCTATGGGCACACTAACTCTGATAGAAGCAATATAGCCGTCTTCAAATTGCAGTTGTTATGTGTTATAGAGTTGTAGTGGATTAAACATATGAATAGTTTTCATATGTTGCTGTCCAGGATTGTTGGCAAAGTTATTAAAGAAATGATTGAGTTCAGCCATTAAAATTAAAGATCTCTATTCATATATCAATCATGACATCAGTATAAGACTCTATCATATTTTTTAGTTTGTACTGTAGAAGTGCTTTCTGGTATTTTTTTTTTTCTTGAATTCTTAATCTCATTAATAAATCTGTCTGCTCTATCACAGTAAAGAATCGTTTAGCCTGTGTTTAAAAATTGCAGTCTCATTCCTCTTTTTTGTTTTAGATAGCTTTGGTTATAAATAGTTTTGTTCTTATGGAATTGAAATCTGGTATCTTCTACCCTAAGAATTCTCCTTTTTCTGCATGCGCTGTTTTCAGATACAAAATTGGCTCTTTCTTACCTTTAATGACCCTTACTTAGTATGTCAGAGGACAGCCACCTCGATCCCTGAAAACCTCCCTTTCCCATCCTGAACAGACTCTCCTGAGTTCTCATAGAGTGGCTACCTGCTTCATATAAAATGTGCTCTCGCTCAATGAATGCAGCATGTCAGGTGTCCCCTGACCACCGTGGGAGATGGCGCCATGTCATGTCTCTTGACACACTAGCATTTTAGTTCTTCTGCTGAGTTATCAAAGCATGCAGTTACATGAACTGGGACTTACAGTTTTAAACCATCTTATTTTCTTTTAGTTCTGAAAACAATAACTTGGCTATAATCCAAAGAATTTTCTCGTTATTTAACAGTTGCCTGGCAAATAACACTTCTTTTTAACATCACAAATGAGTTTCTGTTAAAAGCTCTTCCAACATGTAGCCCTTCTGACTAAATTCCAGTCTTTACTTCAATAATCCCTATCCTTTTCCCATCCTAAGTCACACTGTTTGGGTACACGCTACTCATATTTATAAATATTTCTGAGTAACATTAATTTACCCGAATCTTGAGAATCCTCATTCCAAGGCAACAGAAGATCATTGTCATTATTTTGCTATTTTTAATTTATCCTGTCTTAGGCCATGGCTATTTACTCATTGTTGACTAATATGTGTAATTGGGTGACTATCTTTGGAACTTTAAATAAGTTGCTTAACCTCTCTGTGTCTTGAGTTCTTTTTATGCAAAACCAAAAAATATGTAGAATAATTTCTGAAATGCCTTCCTGATTAAATTTATCACCTCATCTCCAGATAGCTGAATGCCCTGCTAATGACATGGAAATGAATATTCCAGTTATTTTTTCAAGGGAAAGAGACTATTTTACATTTGATGAGGAAGAGACATTTTTGAATGTCTCTTAAATATAGTTCATAAATATAGCTTCCAAATTTTCTCATGTCTTTTCTTCTGGCTTCTTCCTAGAAAGTGTGAAGAGAATGCAATTTTATAATCCATATTAGAAGGTATTGGTCTTTTCTCTTAAGACATTTTATTGCAATTTAATAAACATGTCATAATGAAAAATCATTTAAAAAAAACTCACTAAGTAAAAAGGTGTTTTTTCTAAAATGGATGGTGAACATTGTTTGATGTTTAATAAAAGTGACCAAATTTAGAAATTTCTCATATATATGTAGGTAATCATTAGGAAAAGTGAATAATTGTTTACTGGAATTAGTGCTAAGAGTGACTTGAAACCATGTTATGTTGGGGTGTATTAAGGATATTGTACATGTGTTGCTTGCTTGCATGCATTTCTCTTGTGATTTACTAAAATGGGAAACATATGCTGACTAATATGTTCCCATGCTGAGAGACTTAATTATTTTTCACTATGGCTCCATCTGAAAATGCTTCACAAATTGGCAGCAGAAGGAATTTATATTGATAGCTAGTACTCTCTGCTAGTCTGTGTCACCAAAGGCTTCTCTCTTGTACACCTTATCATAATGTGTGCCGTCACTTTATAAACATCTACTATAGGACTTTGAAAAAAAATGCCCATTGAGAAAAGTAGGGATTACCCACCCAGCTAACATCAAGCTACAAGTCTCAGGCTAAGGAGAATCTCTGTGAAGATAGCAGCTTCCCATCGCCCCCATTTTTGATGAACTATGTTAAAACCTAAAGACTAGTAGTGTTGTGTTATCCAGCACTATAACTACAACCCACATGTGGCTATTGAGTATCTGAAAAGTGTCTAGTCTGCATTGAGATGCGCTGTCTATATAAAATAAACAGATTTTGAAGACTAGACATATATTTAAAAAAAGACAGAAATGTCTTGACAGCATGTTGAAGTGATATTTTATATATAGGTTAAATAAAATATATTGACAAGGTAATTTCACCTTTTACCACATTTTGAAATCTATTAGAAAACTTAGAATTTTATGAGCAGCTCAAGTTTGATTTTTTTTTTTATTGCTTGATTACCTGTGGATAAAGAATAGCTGTACACATTTATAATCTTAGAACTTAAGGACATTTAATTAACTTTATATATAGTATTTCTTTAATAAGCATTTTCCATGTTGTCTTCTATATGCATCATGATTTTTTTCTATTCCAAAGCTGTCTTTATTTTGTTTCCTATATCTGCATTAGCAGTCACCTGCCCCTACCTCCTGGCCCATTGACTGTAATGTGCAGTGGTCTTCCCTTTAACATAATCTGTGGGGTTATGTTCCAAGAGCCCCAGTGGTACCCGCAATCAGGAATAGCATTGAATCATTTACATGTATTTATACATTTACATTCTATGTTTTTCCAGTACACATTCCTGAGGTGAAGTTTCACTTATCATTTAGGCACAGTAAGTGATTGACACTAATAATAAAACAGAACAATTATAACAGTATACTATAGTAAAAATTATGTGAATGTAGTGTCTGTCTCTACCTCTCAAAAATCTTGTGGTACTGCCCTCCTCCTTCTTGGGATGCTGTGAGATAATAAGATGCCTACGTGCTGAGATGGAGGGAGGTGAATCTCGGAGGCACTGTGATCTAGCGCTAGGCTTCTCCTGACCTTCTGGTGATATTTCAGAAAGAGGGTCATCTGTTTCAGGTGATGCTGGGTCATGGAGTAAGACTATGTCCGTGTACGAAGAAGTTTAATATTTTTGGGTCTCAGTTGGCCCTGGGTAACTGAAACTGCAGAGAAAAAAAGACTGCAGGCTGAGGGGGACTACTGTGTACACCTTCAAAATCTTCTGAGAATGTCAGGTCATTCTGTGAAATTATTCTTATTTCCACATTGATTTCTCTCTCCTCTGAACTTAATGTGCTTCTACAAAGAACATCAGGAAGCTAACATTTAATTACATTCTATTTTAAAATAATCTCTAGCAGTGTTCACGTGTTTTTTAGATTAGACACATTTTGGGGAAGGAGTGGCAAGACATACATTCTTCCTTTGTTTTCTCAAAAGGGATAATCTTCAGTGTACAACAGACTGTTGTGGAAGGTTGCTTACTATGTCCCCTCAGGAGCTGTAAGTGTATTCTTTCTTCCAGCTCCCTCGTGCCTTGATAACTCTCTCTTCCTCTCTGTAAAAAATCACACACACACACACAAACAAACAAACAAAAAAACCCCACAAAACATAGACACAGGAGTCAAGATTAGTAGGCTCTTTTGGGTGAACCAACTTGTTAAAGCAGTGCGTTAAAGAAATAAATGTTATGATAGCCAATAAGAAACAGAAAGGAAATTCACTATTGCACTTTTAGTCATCTATGATGCTCCCTTTGTACTTTTTATTTGTAAGTGTTCTTTTTCCTTTTTTTTTTTTAAAAAAAAATATGGTTTTTTAATGTTCAGGATGATGCACGCCAACTCTTTGTGCTCGCTGGAGCCGCTGAAGAAGGTTTCATGACTGCGGAACTTGCCGGAGTTATAAAGAGATTGTGGAAAGATAGCGGTGTGCAAGCCTGTTTCAGCAGATCCCGAGAGTACCAGCTGAACGATTCTGCAGCATAGTAAGTAATCATAACTTCCGGAGTAAACCATCATGAGTAATTACTTGCAAATCAAGTATACCTCCAAGTCAGTTTTATTGCAGAATTGGCTAACACATTCGTGTAAAGCTCAGGATACTCAGAATGACAGTGGGTGAGAACTTTGTCTCTTGTATGTGTTTGTAGATAGCAATATTGTTATTTCCTTTGTGCTTAAAAGTGTTTCAGGAGATTCAGGCTAACGTAACTCAAATTGAGACATGTAGAACGGGATGGTTTCCAGTATATTTCGAAGAAAGTAATTGGAACTTCCCGAAGCTTATTCTCAGTGTGGGTGTATCTCTAGTTTGCCTGAGACTAGCTGAAGGGGAGGGTGACTTATTTAGCTTTTGTCCATAATACTAATTGTCTCTGAGGACAGGGACCTGCCCAGTGCCAGGCAGCTGAATGACAGGCACCCTTTGAAGGGGCGCATGGTGATTCCAAGAGAGCTTCTCTCTGAGGAACATCGCTCTGCGCTTGAAAATTGTCCTTGTATGTGCCCTGTTGCATTAGACATTGCTTACAGATATCTAAGACTGTTTTAGAGCTAGGGGCTCTGAGGGACACAAGTGAGGTCAGATTGAAGGTGACTGGCAATCTAACCAGAAACTAGATCAGCGGTCGCCAACCTTTTAGACCTCAGGATCACCTGTGGTCCATGGACCACCGGTTGCTGATTGCTGGTCTAGATGAATACATTTTGCCTCAAAAGCATAGCTAGGCTTATTGTATAGCATGTCATTTATTTAATTTCACAGCATTCAGTGTGTGTTACATGAATGATTTAGTGTAAATGAATAAATGATACATGTTACTGTATAACCCTTAGCATTTTTATAACACTATATTTCTTACTCTATATTTTAAATATTTTACAAGTATGTAAACCATATATATTATTACATATGTAGTGCATGTAATATATTAAAATTACACATGTAAAATTACATATATATATTCAGTAAGAAATGTCATATATATGTATATGTATATATGTATATACATATGCATATACACACACACACATGACATTTCTTACTGAATACGTATCCCATCTCGCCAATTGGTGTCACTTCTACTAGGAAATAAATATTCCTTGACTCAGTGAGTAGCTCGTCTCCCTGTTTTATGTAGTAATATTATGATATGTTTTCTTTCCTAGCACTCATAGATTTACATTTATTTTGAATTCACTTAATTTCTACTTGTATTGAGAGTATTTGATTATTTTCTCTCTCTGCCACTACACTGGCAAATGCAGCCAAGTCTGTTTCTGTCTTCATTATCTTGTTGAAATATAAATGTGCATTATTTTAGACTATTAGAATTATAGCAGTTTTAAGCAAAGAAATGAATTTATGAGTAATCAGAGCACATTTTAAATAAGAGTAGCTTTGTATTTTATAGAGACAGTAAAATCTTGCCATGGCCTGTTTGGTTGTTTATTAAATCAGATTATTATTTACAATAAGGTATAATGTTATCTATATGAAATTAAGAGCAGATAAAGTACTGGGGGATTATTACCAATATAGTAAAAGATAAGATTCTTTTAAATTAAGTAAGAACAATACAGATAACTCAAGCTATTATATCTCTGTGTATTCTTGCATGACAACACCAGATACATGTACCTAAATATCTAAAACATATTTTGGTCACTAATTCAGTGTTTGGATTGCTTTCCAGCTTCTTTTGCAATAAGTCAAGTATTTATTGAGTTCTTTTGTTTGCGAGACCCATTCTCAATAGCTAAGGGACAGTTTCAGAGCATAACATCAAAGTTAAATAGTTGATGCCTCCTATACTTGAACTTATTTTCTAAATTATCCTTCATATCCTGCCCTAATTATTGCCCAGCACTGCGGGGACACTGTCCACGTTCAGCTGACGGAAGGATTAATTCCAGATTCTCAATGTAGGTTGTGCCTGGCCTATTAGCAGCCTTACTTCCTGAGAAACCACATCCCGCCTCCATACTGTTGTGCTGCTTGTCCTGATGGGAATGACTTTTTTTCTGTCCCATCGTTCAGATTTCTTTACTGTTCTGAGTCTTCCTTTAACTACTCAGGTTCACATTAATGTCTGCATACTTGGACTTTCTGTAACATCATGGACTATACCATATAAATTGACACAAATTATACAAAGTAATTGCATTGTATGACACCACCACATCTTGATATCATAATGTATTTGGCATTATTGACCAAGAGTTTTGAATATGGGGTTAAAATGCGCAAAAATTAGATTTGAAAATGGATTTAGGAAGCCAGTAAAATTCAGAATAATATGTCATGTGTAGTGTTTTCCTTTGTGTAACCGAAGGCTGGTTGAAAGAGAATATCAAATTCCACCATTAGCCACACGTTTTCTCAGTATCTTCTTAAAAACTTCCTAAATCTCAACAAAAGAATAATATCTCGAACTTAAACATGCTGCCTCAAAAAATAAATAAAAATAAAGTGAAAGAATTTTAAGAAACACACGGTGTGCAGTTATTTTGGGTGATTTTTAAGAAGTTATTATTAGTCTTTTTCTTTCTCAACAAAAATTGCTAAGCACTGTCCTTCAGAAACAAAGTATATAACATTTAAAAAATGGTATAAGAGTTTTGTGGCTGGAAAAGTATAAATACTTTGACTTCAGTGGGGGTTGAGTTAGATAGAAACTAAAACATCTGTATTGGCCATGCTAATGTTGTTTTATTGTTTGTTTTCAGCTACTTGAATGACCTGGACAGAATAGCACAGCCAAATTACATTCCAACTCAACAAGATGTCCTCAGAACTCGAGTGAAAACTACAGGAATTGTTGAAACCCATTTTACTTTCAAAGATCTTCACTTTAAGTGAGTAGCTTCAAAGCATATGGTTTATAAATTAAGAGATAAAACCCATTGTTTAGGAAAAAAAAAGTGTAATTATAAAAGTTTTTAAAAACATATTCGGAAATTATAAAAAATTTTCTCAGATAATGGACAAAAGAACGTTTGGGTGAAAGAGGGCAAAAAACTTTTTAAGAATATTTATATATTTGTTTGAGAATAAAATAGCTGTGCAAATTCCTCTTGCCTATATTTTCCACAGGGGTTTAAATAAAAATAGTTTTTGGCGCTTATTTCTGAATAGAAGATACTCTCCAATGCTGTACATTTTGAGCAAGTTCTGCCATCCAGTTTTAGGTAGGAAAAGAGTGTTTTATTGGTAGGATATATGTTTATTTGTGGAAATATTACAAAAGAGTACCTTTTTAAAGATTTTCATGAACGTTTTTATTCATGCAAGCTGATGTGATGAAAAATATTTAACTTATAGTGTCCTGATTAATTAACTTACTGCAGTCAGAGCAGGGAAGCACTGAATTGCAGTGGCTTTTGGAAACAGAGGGATCTTGAAATTCATTTTGTCCAGTTTTCTCATTTTATAATGAAACAGGCTCAGGGAAGTTCAGGTAAACATTACATTCAGACTTAACAGGATTATGTTCTTCTTTTTCCAGTAATAGTTTTAAAAATATGTCAAAAACTGTTTCACTTTGCCTCAGGTGACTGTAATGATCTGAAACAGTAATGATGATAAAGCAGAATTTCTGAGAGCATCTTATTAAAGAGATCCAAGTCAAAGATGAATAAACATCAGCTCACCTCCTGAAGAAGCTCGCAGTTGGCAGCTGTGGGCAGCACAGTTAATTATCTGCAGCTCTACCTTTGAGTCCCTCCCTCAGTATTTCAAATACATTTGTTATCATTTGTCACTAATTTATCCCACATTCAGTGGTTCACATAATTGAGTTTTAAAATTTCAACTTTCCATACCAGCTTCCCTCCAAAAAAACAAATATTGCCCTGCTTCTTAAACCGAGATACAGATCCTAATTAGTTTATCTGATCATGTAGCTTTGTGCTTTAACACATGGTACGGAAACGGGGGGCATCGGCCCTGGCTGGTTGGCTCAGTGGCTCGAGTGTCGGCCCACAGGTTGAATGGTCCCAGGTTTCATTCTAGTCAAGGGCACCTACCTCGGTTGCAGGCTTGATACCTGGCCGGGTGCGGGGAACTACCGAGTGTGTTTGTGTTGTAATTCATTTCTGGTTTTAACAGCTGTTGTAGAATTTAAATTTCACTTATTTTGTGGTATGATTGGAATTAAATTCAAAATGAAGCAATAAGACATTCTTCAAGAATTTATCTTACCCACCTCAGTGATGAGGCAGGCATACATGGATTATTTTGCTTTAAGGAATCGACAGGTTTGTTTTACTATATTTTTGCAAAATAATAGAATTAAAGCATCCCTTCTGTCATAAAATGATTATCATCATATGACAAATTTCCATTTTGTATAGAAATATGCATGTGTAATAGGTTTTGGAGTGCCGTGACATAGTTATTGGGTTGCTATGCTTGGTCCACTTGCTCTGCACTCAGTCTTGGTCATAATGGTACCAGATGAGTCTGAGGGGGGCACATCTCAGGATCTCCAGGGTCCTTCCCTCTCCCCCCTCTCCTAAAACACAGGGAAGAGACTTCAGATTCCACCCCTATTTGATGCTTTTCAGAGGCCTCATCTTTTCATGGGAAGAACATATTATACATTTTTATATAGAATTTGAAGGTAATTCTAATGTATGTGTGAAATAGTGACTAATGCTCTCTGTACAATTCTATTGCTTATAGTATCAGTTCTTAGTCATTGTTTCTCCTTGGCTTGAGAATTAGGCAGGTGACTTTCAAAGAAGGATCCTGGAATCAGCAGCAGGCGATTCTGGGCACTCAAGTTTGAAAAGCACTGGCTTAGAGTACCCGTATTTTCTGGAGTATAAGATGACCCCCTAATTTTACAGTTAAAACATAGGTTTGGGCCTATATTCGCAGTATAAAACTACCCCCCCACTTCAAAGAAAAGACTTACTTTGCCGTCAAAATCTGCAGGTAATTTTTGTGCAATTTTGGTCTTTTGCCCCTGATTTTCGGTTGACTTTTTTTTTATTTCACAAGTCGTCTTATACGCCGGAAAATACGTAAAGGAATCTTTATGACCGGCATATGGGTGATCCACTTCTACTTTAAACAAATTGAAGATATTTCTTGTCAGATGTCCTAATTATCATGTTATAGCTCTTTATTTTTTAATTGAATATTCCCACAGCATAACTGGAAGATCTGGATCTTTAACATGGTAATGCTAGTCTATTATTATTTGAAAGCATTTAAAAATATTCTGTAGACACAGTTCACTTATTTCTTCAACCAATAAGTACTTATCTGTGTTCAGTGTAGGGGATATAAAAGAGATTAAAATAAAATTACATTGTTAGGGGAGGTGATATAAATATTTAATATTCAGGGGATGATGATAATTACTGTAGTGAAAATGTACCATTTTGCATAGTGTTTCCATTACCTAAGTGGTTGTTATTATGTATTGATGGTCAGGAAATATGTGACATTTGATCAGAGAAGTTTTTAAAAATATATTAACTTTTTGGTAAAGTTCTTTTCAGATTGTGTTTCTTGGCAATTTAACAAATGTATAATCATTTTAATTTTATTTTGTTCTTGTTTGATCTTTATGACCAGCTGTCCTTTTTGTATCTTACTCATTTTCATTTATCATAGAATAATATTTATATAGTATTCTTAAACTCAGCAATTTATTAGCTAGACCAATATGATACAGGCCCCTTAAATGATGATAAAAGAAACAAGACTGGTTGATGCACTCAGATTTGGTTTCTAGGCCAATACCACTCTGCAGGGAAAATTCTTTTTGCTGCCTGAGATTTAAATAGGGACCATTTTAATTAGTTCACCCTCTAGATAAATGGAGGATTTAGAAAAGTACCATTTTGCATAGTGTTTCCGTTATATAAGTGATCGTTGCTGTGTTACATAACATACCCTACGTGCATTTCAACTTTTGCTTACCTTAATAAACTCTTACAAGGAAAAGAGGAAAGAATCACTGTCTTTATACTATTTAATTATGTTGCTACCCTGTACACTAACCTACAATGGTCTGCTGTCATATATTTTGTAAAAACAGTGGTTATTTTATTGTTTTTTTCACTCCAAGTTTCAGCACTATTCATTAGGGCTGCCCATTTATTGCAGATTGCATCTCACCTTTTCTTTTACCCCTGATTTTACTTTTTAATTAAGGCAACCTGTTGGCCCCACTTTGAATCTGACTTGCTTGCTCAGCTTTTTCTTACCCGGAACGGTTTCTCCTTCGCGCCAAAGCTCTGCTTCTTGCCTCTGAGAGAACACAGCACTTTGTGGGGGAGGAGGGGACCGTGTCCTCTCCTCTAATCATTCCTGACATCGGCGAATTGAATATACTCTGTTCTCTCTGCATTTCTTCTGGCTTCATGTGAATTTTTAGTGTTTACACATAGTGCAGCCCATTCACATGGATTTATTTTAATGTTCTGTGCTAAGTGTTCTTATATGTTAATATATTATTTTTAAGGTATTTTGAGTTGCTTTGTTTCTCTTTACTCAACAATTTTTAAAAATCAGACTTTTTTTTTTTTTTTTTTTTTTTCATTTCTGACATTCTTTTCCTCCCAAAAAGTCCTTTCCTCCTTTCCTCCCATCCCACGTTCTCCCTGCAATTCTTGTTGATGCTGTAGAACTCGGAGCTTTGGGACACTTAATGAGATGTCTGACTCGTTTTCCTCTTCCAGAATGTTTGACGTGGGAGGACAGAGGTCTGAGCGGAAGAAATGGATTCACTGCTTCGAAGGAGTGACCGCCATCATTTTCTGTGTGGCTCTGAGTGACTACGACCTGGTTCTCGCCGAAGACGAAGAAATGGTGAGTACAAGCCCTAGAAAAGACTGAGCATGGAGCAGAGAGGGCTGGAGATGATTGCGGGAATCTCCCTAAGAGACCTTCTTGTGAATGTCTGAATTATGTGGAAGTTTGGGCTCTTCTCTAGTTTTTCTGTTTCTATCCTAAATGGGATCTATAATAAAGAAACACAGATGGACCATGAGAAAAAGGAAAAGACAACAGTTTATCTTCCCTTAACCCTCTGTGCTTAACTGCATTTCCTCTGCCTGGCAGTATTTACACACCGAATGAAAATAAGCTTTGTTTTGTAATAGTCAAGGCTTGTTTTCCTTAACGTATTACTTCTGCCAGTTCTAGCTTAGTAATCTTTGATCCATGTTCTATTTTGCACCCCCGTGTAATTTTCAGATGCATTTCAGTATACTGTTAATCTGGGGAAAATGTTTTTTAAGTATAAACTCATTTAAGTAGAAACTTATTTAAATGGAAGTTTTTTAAGTAGAAACTTATTTAAGTGGAAGAGTTAAGTTTAGCACAAACTGGAAAAAAGAAGATAGAAAGGTCAGTTTTCTATTGTTTAAGATTAGGTGTACGCAGTTACGGTCGGTGCAGAGCACCTCATACATGCAGTTCCCCCTTTCCGGCGACACTATGAAATACACCAGTGCCCTTTTAGAAACAGCAAATACTGGGAGGCAGGACCCGGGAACGAGATTTCCTTCCCTCCCATATCTTTATCGTCAGGGTGTTAGGGTAATTGTGGTTCAGCTTATTCAGTTTAATTTATTAATCTTTAAAAGACGTTACTTATCTCTTAATGGAAAGTTCAGTTAAGTCTGTAATTATGAGATCTTTGCAAATGTTTGCACTCGGCATCCCTAGATAGCAAGCCTCCCTCCCCCCAGCAGCAGGCTTTCCCAGGCTCAGGGACACGTGGTGGGTACCAATGGAGTATTGTTGAATGCAAAAGTAATTAACGACAGATGTAGATACTCATCTCGCCCCAAATCAAAGGCTGCTTGTTCTTAACATACTCCAACAATATTTTTCTGGCATTTATCTATTTTACAGCTAAGGTCTATCTCGTTACGCTATCTGTTATTCTTTTAAAGTAGTATTTCTCAAAATTCTCCCATTATGACAAACTGATTGTAACCTTTTTACTACAGAATCGAATGCATGAAAGCATGAAGTTGTTCGATTCCATATGTAACAACAAATGGTTTACAGAAACATCCATTATACTTTTTCTAAACAAGAAGGATCTCTTCGAAGAAAAAATCAAAAAGAGCCCTCTCACTATATGCTACCCGGAATATGCAGGTATTTTGCTTTCTGTGGTGGATAACTTGTCAAATCATACAGATCCAAGTGAAAGTTCCCCTAAGACAAGACTTCAGTGGTTGATTTAATCCCTTGGTTTAGTAATTCTTTCCTTTAAAAGAAATTACTTATCGTACTGCATTCAAGCACAGTAGTTATCTGGGATGTGGATTATATTATTGAAGCTAACATATTCATTTTAAGGAAAAGCTGTGTAATTATTTTTTTTTTGTAATGAAAAAACTTCAGTTCTTCATAAATTTACAGTAAGGATTTCTTCATCTAGTTGACATGTCTTGCTTCTTGTCTCGTCTCAGAGACAGATGTACGATAGACAAACAATAGTAGTGCATCATGCTGCCACGAACAATAAATGTAAGGGGTAAAAATGAAGAAGGAATTTGTGAGTTAACAACGCAGGAGTCAGGGAAGGTTTCATATGCAATCCAAAACTTTGGTAATGAGGTGATTCATGGCATTTTACTTTTACGACTAAAGAAAACGATCTGCAGTAAGAAAAGGCAACTAAGAGACAGTCCTGGCTTTTCCATAATTAGCTCTTTGATCCTGAACAAAGCAGTTCATGTAGCTGGCTCTCAGTTCAGTATTTACAATCAGAAGTGGGCTAAAGCATTGGTTACGGTTTAGTTTGATTTTGGGAACACCTGGACTCCTGCTGTTGAAAGTGGGTGCAAAGAAGAGAAATAAAGCAGATTATCTTAGCTTTCATCTGAATAATATTTTAATGAAGAGAATTAAGTCTCAAGAATTTGTTTGGTTATAAACAAAAATTTAGTTGGTCTTGTATTAAGGAAATTGTATGATAAGTATTCACTGCCTTTTTACAGGTGATGTTAAAACAACCCTGTGGTATCAGTGCTCTTACTTCCCAGGACTTAAATGAAGTAACAGAGCCCAAATCCAGACCTAAGTCTACAGCATCATTAACCACCAGACTAACATTAATTAAATTCTCATTGGAACCAGGGGTCAGGACCAGGGGGTGTTTCAGAACATATAAGCACACTAATTACTATAGCCCTTTTTTGTATACTGCAAAGAAATACTTCAATTCAAAATAATTTCACACATTTTCTTATTTTAAAAGTTTTCTTTTTTAAATTTATAGTATTCTTTTTTAAATTTATAGTATCCTAAGTCAACTTATAATGAAACACTTTGTGTTTAGTATGAATAAAATTATTTATAGTACTAATTCCAAGATTGAAGTTATCTAGAATCAAGGTGGCTTAGTTTTGCCCTTTCTTTAATCTGTCTTTTAGATAATCTGTCTTTTAGATTATTTTTGTCATTTTTTTACTGTGAAGTAGCCATGTTGTACTAATATTACCAGAGTACCCAAATGCATTGATAGAAATCGCATACCTACAGGGATTTCAGAGCAACAAGGAATATGCTTATTAGTTTTTTTTGTTGTTGTTTTTTTTGGCCAGGTATACAGTATGTACAAGAATTTCCCTTAGGTTGTCAAGTTAATAAGAATCCTTAATCTCAGAATTTTTTTTTTATCATTCCTAGTGTTAATATAATAATGGAATCTTCACTGCATGCCTTAATTATTGACTCAGTTGCTTCAGCCTTCAACTCTTAATTCCTATGGCTATTGCTTTTTATAGAAGAAATCTATGGAGCCTTTAACTACTCAGTTCACATCTATCTCCATCTGCTTCTATCTTCCCCTCTTTTTTACCTACATGTTGGCAGTTTACCACATTCTAGCTGCCATCCTTTCATGGTTATATTTATTCTCAGGTGAAATTCTGTTGTCAAATGTAATTTCTCTCTAGAGCCTTGGGCTTGCATTTCCAACTACTTGTTGAGCACATTCTTGTTTTTTAGCACCTGAAACTTAAAGTAAACTCAGTGTATTTAGTTTTTTTCAAATTTCTATCTCCCTTTGAATTATATCATAAACCTCCAATTCTTCACTTTTTTTTTAATCCTCACCTGAGGATATTTTTTTCCCCCATTGATTTTAAGAGAGAGGGAAAGACAGAAATATCAGTTTGAGAGGAGCATCAATTGGTGACCTTATGCACTTACTCCAACCAGGGCCCAGGCCGGGGAGGAGCCTGCAACTGAGGTACATGCATTTGACTAGAATTGAACCTGGGTCACCCTTTAATTTGCAGGCCAATGCTCTATCCATTGAGCCAAACCAACTAGGGCCCAATTCTCCATTCTTGAACCAGGTTATCATCTATACTTAGATATTTTCTAACATGTGCTAGAAGTGTCCTAAAAAGCTAACACATTCTCTCCTATCCCCATACTTGCCATTCTTTTTGTTGTTGTTGTTGTTCTTTTGTTTAATTAATTTTTTTTAATTGTCTGAAGTTTTATATATGTCTCCCTTTTCCCCAATTGACCCTCCTAGCTATTCTCACCCCAGGCTAGCCCCCACCGCCCCAGTGTCTGTGTCCATTGGTTATACGAATGTGCATGCATACAAGTCCTTTGGTTGCTCTCTAGCCTCCCCCTCCCCTACCATTTGTCTCTAGATTGATCTATTCTTGTTCATCAAATTACGTTGATCATTATATCCCACATATGAGTGAGATTATGTGATATTTATCTTTCTCCAACTGGCTTATTTTGCTTATATCCCACATATGAGTGAGATTATGTGATATTTATCTTTCTCCAACTGGCTTATTTTGCTTAGCATAATGTTCTCCAGTTCCATCTATGTTGTTGCAAATGGTGAAAGTTTCTTCTTTTTTATAGCGACGTAGCATAGCATAGTATTCCATTGTGTAACTGTACCACAATTTTTTAATCCACTCATCTACTGATAAGCACTTAGGCTGTTTCCAAATCTTAGCTATTGTAAATTGTGCTGCTATGAACATAGGGGTGCATATATCCTTTCTGATTGCGTATCTGGTTTCTTGAAGATATAGTCCTAGAAGTGGGATTACTGGATCAAATGGGAGTTCCATTTTTAACTTTTTTGAGAAAACTCCATACTTTGGAAAAAAGAGGTAGAGGAAGACAAATGGAAGAACATACCATGTTCATGATTGGTAGAATCAACATCTTTAAAATGTCCATACTACCCAAAGCAATCTACAGATTCAGTGCAATCCCCATTAAAATACCAATGACATATTTCAAAGATCTAAAACAAACTCTCCAAAAATTTATCTGGAATAAAAAAAGACCTTCAATAACTGCAGCAACCCTGAGAAAGAACAACAAAGTTGGAGGGATCACATTACCAGATATTAAGCTATATCACCAAGCCACAGTTCTCAAAACTGCCTGGTACTGGCACAAGAACAGACATATAGACCAATGGAACAGAACAGAGAACACGGAAATTGACCCAAGTCATTATGCTCAATATTTGACAAAGGAAGCAAGAGCATACAATAGAGTCAAAACAGTCTCTTTAATAAATGGTGCTATGTGCAAAAAAAAAAAATGAAACTAGATCACCAATTTACACTATACTCAAAATGGCTAAAAAACTTACATGTAAGATGGAAAACCATAAAAACCCTACAAGACTCCATAGGTAGCAAAATAGCAGACATATGTCGTAGCAATGTCTTTTTAGACACAACTCCTAGGGCTACGGAGAATAAGGAGAAAATAAACAAATGGGACTATATAAAAATAAAAAGCTGCACAGCAAAAGAAACCATCAACAAAACAACAAGAAAGCCCACAACATGGGAGAACGTATTTGCCAATAATATTTCCGATAAGGGTTTAATCTCCAAAATTTACAGAGAACTCATACAACTTATTAAAAGGAAGATAAATGATCCAATGAAAAAATGGTCAAAGGATCTAAAGAGATACTTTTTGAAAGAGGACATACAGAAAGCCCAGAGACATATGAAAACATGTTCAAAATCACTAGCCATTCTTTTCTTACTAGTAACATCTAAAATCGGATTGAGTAATATAACTAGCTACCCAGAAAATATACAGGAAATTGAGCTAGGCACTCAGTGAAAGCTGCAGTAACACAGATGGTGTTTGTATATTATTCTCATGCCATGAAATGAATCTCACATGTGGGAGAGAGCAGGTTGGATATAAAGGACCTTGAAAAGCAGGCAAATAGTGTTGTGTTATTACTGTAAGACGGAGATTTAAATAATTATTTTCAAATGAGCATTTGATTGAAGTATTAACTATGTACATGTAAAAATATATAATACACAAATACTCAACATTTAATGTGAAGTTCATTGAATTTTTAAAAGTGGAAATACTGATGTTTTATCACTCAGGTCAAGGGGTAGAATATTTCCGGGTTCCCAAAAGACCCATCGTGCCTCTCCTCTACCCCTCTCCCGCCTGTTTTCTAAACATCAGTTGAATCATACAGTATCTAGTCTTTTTGTATCTGGCTTACTTGATCGGTAGTATGTTTATGAAATGCACCCATGTTATTGTGGGCAGCAGTAGTACTTTCATTCTCATTATTGTATGGCAACTTGTTTTATGAATATACCATAATTAGCTGGGTTGTTTCTTAAACTATTAAAGAGTCTATGTTTTCTGATAAATGTATGAATATAATTATGTCAAGGGCACATTTAGAAACTGAATTATTGGGTCACAAACTATGCATGTGATTATCTTTAGAGACTGCCAAACCACTTCTGGCGTGTTTGTACTCACAAGTCTTTAGTCAGTTACCTGAAAGGTGGAGTGTGTCATTCCTCTTTTAACCTGATAGCCATAAACCCCGTTGTAGACCCTGGTCCAGTTTTTTTAATAAGGAAAGGCAATAAAAAACATTCATCAGCATCCAGCCAGCATTTCTTGATCAGCCACTAGGCTGTAACTGACATACTCGCCACCATCATGGAACTAAGTTGGGATTAATAGAGTATAAGGAATAAGAAAAAGTAGGGATCTGGTATTTGGAGATTGAAGCAGGAACAAAAATCATGTGGAATGCTTTTTGTTTCAGGATTTTTCTTAAAGGGTAATATAGTCATTAAAAGGTAGTTAACATGGGGTGTTTTTTTCATTTAGAAGAAACAGTTTCCCTTATTCTATAAGGAAAAAATACAGTTATGGAGTCCAACTGTTTTAAATAGCCGATTTCAATACTTAAGGCCCATTTTCCTTAGCTGTATACACATTTTAACTTTTCTCCTTATGTTTTTTCCTTTCCCATCTCAGGCTCGAACACATATGAAGAGGCAGCTGCATACATTCAATGTCAGTTTGAAGACCTCAATAAGAGAAAGGACACAAAGGAAATATACACCCACTTCACATGTGCCACAGATACTAAGAATGTGCAGTTTGTTTTTGATGCCGTAACAGATGTCATCATAAAAAATAATCTAAAAGATTGTGGTCTCTTCTAAGTTTTGCCGTGAATGGTTAAAATGCATTCTCAAACCAAATGAGTACTTATGTGTGGATCTCTCTAGACTAGGGTCTTGCAGCAACACAGAATGTAGTGTACGGCAAACACATCTGGACCTGACCAAAGCTGTTGTGTTTTGTTTTTTAACCTAAGTAAAAATGTGAAAGGTGGTCCTGCATTGTGAACCTAAGGGCAGTGTTAAAGCTGGGCTCTAGTGTATTGATGATTTCTGTGTAAGTGTAAATATGCAAATGTATGTATACATGTATTTATAACTTTAGTTTTCCACATTACTTTTAGGTTTTAAGAGTTGTCATTTACAATTCTAGTGTGATTGCTTTGGAAGTAACAGAAATATTAAGTACTTTGTACTCAGTGCCAGACTATTGCCACATTAACCCGTTTTGAACAGCTTTATTTATATTCATGCCCTGTAAATTTTTAAGTATAGCAATTAATATTAGGAAACATTGCAGCCCTTACCTTGATTATTTTGTGACCCTAAAAATGTCATTTGTATAAACATTGCACAGACTATTTTAATAACATGATTTGTTCTTTAAATTTAATGCTTTATTGAAATGTTCTTAAAGAGGATGAATATAACTTCCTTTGGATTAATTATTTAAACATCATACACATTTTATTTTAAGATTGCATGCTGATCTACAGTAGATTTGGTTTGAAGAACTAAAATTGCATATTTTACTATTTTTAAACTTTTAAATACTTAATTTTTATTCAGTTGGTTTGTTTTCACTTTGAATTTTAATATTTGGATGGTATTGAGGCATTGCCTTAAAGATGATGCCAAATTAATTTTTATACACTTTAAATAATTACCTTTTATTTATAACTAAGTTTAGGTGGATGATGAGAGCATTTTTTGGGTAAAAAATATATCAGCATAATGAATTTGTGATATTCATTTGTGTATTTCCTTTGGGAAATCCCTTGTACCTAGCATATATTGATAGCTCCTTGTTTGGAAGATAACAAGAAAGATCTTTAAATATCCTGCTGCTGGTATAATGCAAGCTTTTAATTCATATATATAATTAGTTTCAAATTTAATTATCACACTTGACTAAAATTACTTTTTTCCCCCTAGATTATTCAAATTTCCTCCACTTGCTTAAGTCTATATTATTTTTTAAATTGTACTATTATTTCTGAGAATGAAACAGGCAATTACACTTAGAAAATGAGTAATAGTATTTAATAAAGTCAGTGACTGTATGTCTGTTCAAATAAGTGTTACATATCAGCTAGATGTTGAATGTCAATAGTAATTTTTCTTTTGATTACTCATGATGTATCTTGTGACCTTGCTTCATCAAAATGAACAGCATTCCCCACCCTACTTGTCTTTTTCACTCATCTTGAAAGAGTTAGCCTTTCAGTAAGCTTGTGGGTAAGTTTGTTTCTGTCATTTTGTTGAAGTATATTTGTTGAAATATGTGTGTGTAGGGGTGGGTAACCACAAACTGCATTTATATCTGTTTCATCTTGGGGATTTGCTTTTCTTCTTTGTAATGTAAAGAAATTCAAAATTATCAAAATTCCTTAAATGTGTTATGTTAGTTTAGATTCTTCATGTGCCTTTCATGAAAGATATGTTTTCATTAATTTTACTGATGGGAGACCTGTAATATCCATATTGTGAAGCTATGTATGAATCTCAACTATAATGAATAAATTTGAATCATGACAAATAGTTTAAAAAGCCACAAAGAAGCACATATTGGTGATCATAGTTGATGAATTTCTGAACTTTATTCTGTGTAACTGTTATTAATAAATCCTAATAAATTTAAATTTTTAAAATTTTATAAATCTGTTGACTAAACACACGTTTTTGCATTAGGATTTAAGTATCAGTTGATAGTATGTTCACTTCTTCATCTTTGCCAGCTTTTTATCATCTCATCTATGCCAGAAGATTGATTTCTCCCTGCCCCAAGTTTTCTCATAAGACATGGTATCACGTTTGGAATTGACTGCCTGATACCTCCTTCTGAGAATTTATTGCCTACTCCAACTCAGTATGCACAAAATCAAATTCTCCTTTTAAACCAGTTCTCAACCTTACTTTGCCATTGTAGCTACTCAGTACCATCATTCATTTAACCCCCACTGGAGACTTTTTAGCCTTGGGAACTCTTATTAGCTCTCAAATCCAACTATTCAGCCATCACTTCTTACAGTTCTTTTCCACTGCCTCACAAGTGGGTTTTTTTTGTTTTTGTTTTTTTTCTTTCCATCCACTCGACCACCTACTAAGTTCAGATCCTTGCTTAACTTTCACTTGAAATGGCTTCTTAATGACATTCATCTCCCATTTCTCCTTTCTCTAATCCAAGTTATCCTAATACGGAACTGTGGCTGTGTGTCTGCTGTGCATTAACGTGCATTGGCTCTAACTTGTCAAAATCGAATCTAACTAAGCCTCCATTCAAAACTCTTCATCATCTGAGCCTACATCTCCACTCCTCTCCCGCATTATATCCTAATAGTGCTTTGTGCATAGCCTGGGCTTTTCTCCAAACATACTAAATAGTACTACCTTGAGATATGCTTAACACAATGCCAGAACACAGGGAAGTGTCCATCCATGGCTATTGATGTTACTGTCTGTATTTATTAGCACTTTTGCTTGTGATAGCTTTTTTAGACACAACTGATTAATCTTTCAGTCTGCCCTTTGGGGAACTGCATGGTTCTGGTAAGGTTGCCAATCACAGTGCTCATCTTCCTGGCCATCAGCTCAGGCCTAACCAGTTCTACACCTTTGTCACTGGGCAGATGACTCACACAGAGCCATTAGTCCATGTTCCCATTCCTAAGGCTATTCTGGCTTCTGATTGCCTTAATTTCAGTACAGGTCTAAAAAACTCCTTTTATGCTTGATGTCATTGTTTAGGTCCAATCTCTTGCTGAAAAGTCCTGACTAAAATGCATGTTATGTTCTCAATGAAAATCAACAGTAACTGTGAGATAGATTAAAAAAAAAAAAAAAAAGGCTCAGAGGGGATAATTAACTGGAGCAGGATCAGATCTGGTTTCAAACCTATGTCTTGTGACTTCATATCTGTCAGAGAACTCCAAAGAGTGCTCGTCCCAGAAAATGGATAAGTTTAACCTTCTCCGTTCCCACCTCCTCAGTTTATCTGAACCATACTATGTTTTCAGATTACAGTTAACCTTGAAACAATGTGGGTTTGAGCTACATGTCTATTAATACATGGATTTTTTTCAATAAATACTGTAAGTATATTTTCTCTCCTTTATAATCTCCTTAGTAATATTTTCTCGTAAAAATAGAGTAAAATACATATAACCTACAAAATATGGGTTGACTGTTTATGTTACCAGTAAGACTTCTGGTCATCAGTAGGGTTTTAGTAAAGTTTTTTTGGGGATGAAAATGTATATGTGGACGTTTGACTGCACAGAGTGAGAAGCGGGGATCAATACCCCTACCTCCCACATTATGTTATTTAGGGTCAACTATTAAAATGAGATAGAATGAAGTTGATGGTATCAAACTCCCTAATTTCAAGTTATACTGCAAGGCAGTATAATAATCACAAGAGTCTGATAGTGACATAAAATCAGGCACATAAATCAATGGAACAGAATAAATAACCCAGAAATAAACTGACATATATATATGGTCAATTATGACAAAGGCGTCAACAATATAAAATAGGGAAAGAAATTTCTTTTCAATGTTGGAAAAACTGGACCACTATCTTACATCATACACAAAAATTAATTCAAAGGATTTAAAATTTACTTAGCTGAATTAAAATTTTAAACATAAGACCTGAAACCATAAACCTAGAACAAAACATAGGTCATAAGCTCCTTAACATCAGTCTTGGTGATGATTTTTTTAGAATGACCCCCAAAAGAGAACAAAAGCAGAAATAAACAGAACTACATCAAACAAGATTTCTGCAAGGAAAAAATTTTTTTCCAACTAAATGAAAAAACGTACAGAATGGAAAAAAAATTCTTGCAAACCATATATCTGCTAAGGGGTTAATATCTAAGATAGGTGAAGAACTCATAAAACTCAATAGCAAGAAAACACAATGAGATTTTAAAATGGTTAGATGATCTGAATAGACATTTTTTTCAAAGACATACTGAAGGCCAACAGGTTCAAGAGAAAGTACTCAATACTCACCATCACTAATCATCAGGGGAATGTAAATGAAAACCACAGTGAACTATCACCTCATACTTGTTAGAATGACTATTATAAAAAGGAAAAGAAATAAGTGTTGACAAGGATATGGATAAAGAACCTGAGAGTGGGAGGTTTATGTCATTTTCAAGTTAGTTTTGGAAGTTCTCTGATCCTTTCTTTTTAAAATCCTATCTTCCTAGTTAAAATGCCTTTATATGAAGAGTTTTATATTTCACAACTTCATTGGCCTATTTCCCAGGGATTTTCTCTTAACCCGTAACCCCTGGCTTTGGTGTCTGTTGTGATTTCTATTATTTACTTCATTTTTTTTAGTTACTTTAGAAGTTATGAAACACATTTCAACAAGTCCAGAAACACCCAAATATGCACAAGTATGAATGTGCTGCAGTCATACAGACGAGGGCTGAGGAAGTCTGCCTTGGGACAGTCTACCATCTGATAAACCTTCTCAAGCACCATAAATAGTTCAAATGTTTTCAGCATTTTTTGTTTACTGGACATCTTCCTGGGTCTTCATACCAACAAAGTGAACTGGACACTGCCATTGCAAAGTAGTTCTTTAAACAAAGAGTCCATTGTAATTGATTTAAAAAAAAAAAATACCATGGGCAAAGCATGCATAGATCAAAGCAGGTTTTCACTGCTATTTTAGCAAGCGATAGAATGCCACTTTTAGTAAAAGAAGGTGCAGTGTCCTCCTGCATTGCGTAGTGCTTCTTCTAAAGGAAGTACTTGAAGAAGGACTCTTGAGAACCTAAGAATCGAGACCAAAGAAATTC